CGACTCATAGCAACCCTAATATGGTTTCTGAGGACGAGCTGGTGGGTTTGAACTGCTGATCTTGTGGTTCACAGCCCAGTGCTGATCCTACAGCACCACACGAGAAGTCCGCAAGGGAGTGGATAAATAGAATGTAGTATTTTTACGTTGGACTCTTGGTGTGGTCACCATACTTATTTAATCTATGCTGAACAAATAATTCAAGAAGTTGAATTATATGAAGTAAAATGTGGCATAAGGAAGAAGACTAATTAACAACCTGTGATATGCAGATGATATAACCTTGCTTGCTGAAAGTGAAGAAGAGTTAAAATTCTTCCAGATGAATATCAAAAACCACAGCCTTTGGTATGGGTTGCATGCACCTCAATGTAAAGGAAAAAAAAAAAAATCTTACCACTGGTGCAATAAATAATATCAAGATAAATGGAGAAAAGACTGAAGTTGTCAAACACTTCATTTTGCTCAGATCAATTATCAACGCTCATGGAATCAGCAGTCAAGAAATCAAACGACGTATTGCATTAGGCAAATCTACTGCACAAGACCTCTTTAAAGTGCTCAAGAGTAAAGATGACAGTTTGAGGACTAAGATGCACCTGACCCTTAATATGAAAGTACTCATATGCATGTGAAAGTTGGACAGTGAATAAAGAAGACCGTAGAAGAACTGATGCATTTGATGAGTTATGGTGTTGGAGGAGAATATTGAAAGTACCATGGACTGCCAAAAGAACAAACAAATCTATGTTGGAAGAAAGTACAACCATAATGCTCCTTAGAAGTAAGGATGGTCAGACTTCATCTCTCAAACCTCATATATATTAACAGGAGGGACCAGTCCCTGGAGAAGGACATCATGCTTGGTAAAGCAGAGGGTCATGAATAACAAGGCTCAGTGATATAGTGATGGAGACACAGGTTGAAGGTGTAAAGAGAGGAAATAATGTTAAGTGTTGCAGACTACGTAAAGCTGGTCAGAAGTTCGAGGCCCACTGGGCCCGAGTGTTGCAGACAATGCAGGCCACAGGCTCTGAGGAACAGATTCTGGCCACTGGGCAGTCATAACAAATTGTTTTTCATCTTAGTGTTATGTTTTTTATTTAATTCCAAACATGAGCCCTTAATATCCACAGATAAATGTAATATTTTCCTAAAGCCGAGACTGTAAAGGTTTCAAGGTTAAACCTTTCTCCAAAGGATTAACTAAAAATAGCTTAGCTACTTTCCGGTTCTTTGTTCTATGGACAAAAGGACATCCTCCTTAAACCTGTCCCAGGTGCAGGCTATTCAGCCAAAGTTCCTGAAAACCTGGCTCAGGAAGCCAAAACAGTGGGACGCCTCCCAAGCCTTTTGTCCTTCGCTTTCACCTTCCCCCAACTGAGCTCAGGGGCTATAGATATGTTAATTGAACCTGAGACACCAAGTTGCGGGCCTGGGATTCGAACCAGCAAAGCTCGATGTAAAATTACCTGAAGGTCTAGAAAATTACTGATGTTAGCTGTACCTTATCTTAGTCCCTCCCAGCTTGGTGTGAAGCTCTTCCCCTAAATAAAACAGAGGCGCAGGTGGGCCCAGGTGTGCATTACAGGTTGGAGGGCATGCAGTACAGTTTGCAGGGCAGTGAGTTGCTGTCTGCAGAGGCCACGATGCCTGTAGTCCCAAGTCTGCCCACCAATGATGCATTCACCCTGGTTTCGGGGTGTCTCTTTGTCTCCTCTTTTTGTCTTTCTGTGTATTCTTTTGCTATCTCTATCGCTGCCAGATATCCCCTCATCGTGAACCAAACACTCGTGAACAACAACACAACTATGTCGAGGCCAGTTCCCCGAGAGTTAAGATGTTTGAATGTTCACAAAAGGACAAATATTGCATAAGACCATTTTGGTAAAAGCTTACAGAAAAGATGACCATACTAAAAGAAAAAAATTCTTTGTTGGTTACTCTAGGTAGGGATGGGAGTTGACTGTAAGGCACAAATTGGGGATAGTCACATCATAGCTTGGATGAGGGGCAGGGAAATTATACAAGAAAGGCGAGGGCAGTACACAAGAAGGGAGAGAGGGGTGGAAGAACAAGGAAGATAGGGGAACACTTAGGTAAGTTTGCATGGGTTAAATGGGATAGAGATAAATATTGATGTATACTCAACCTTGGAACAACAGGGATCTATGATACAGGATCAAGACAGCCCGAGTGGTGGGTAAAAGAGAAGAAATAATGTTAAGGTGCTTGTCTATCTTGTGGATTTTGTTTTCCCCTGCCTATTACTGAAAAATAGATTTTTAGTGGGCTAGAAAGGAATATTGGGAAATATGATTACAGAAAGCTTGTAAGCCAGTTTTCAGCCTGTAACTGATTGGATTTGCCCAGGGTAATAGGCTTCTTGTTTAGCCTTTGTAGCGTATGGGGCCTTAGATTGAATCCAGAGTCTTCTGAGGTGGGACATTCCCATTTAAAAGAACATGCAGCCCAACCCAGAGTTGCTAGAATAGAAGCAGCTTCTTCAAAGAAAGACCAACAGAAAAAAACAAAAACCAAAACCAGATTGTTTGGCTGTTAACAAAAACAAGCAAGCTGTTTGCCTGGAAGCCATCAATGCAAGAAAAGTCAGTCCATCAGGGAAAAACCCCTTTTGAGTTGAAACTCAAAGGGAACACATGAGCAGCTATGTAAGTTCGCTGGTGACCAACCTTGGTCTACTTGTGAGTGGATATAGGGGAAAGGCAGCAATGAAGACCTGGGCTGAGTTCGACCATGTTCTATAGACACCCATTGACCTTGAGAGAAGAGAGAGAAGAGGAAGGGATGGTAGATCTGAAATATATGGAGACTTGAGGACTCCTGAGTCTCCACGGACCTAGCCACTGAGTGCTAGAGCTCAGAGTGAAGAGTCCAGCTGATATGAAGTGGGGGGAGCGGTGCAAAAATACCCGAACTTGCAGAAAGTGACCCATTTGACCTAGCTTGAATGGCTTGATGATCAGAACTTGACTAGAGGAAGATAAAGAAGTTTTATACAGGAAGCAAGCATAAATTGTCACAATTTGATGAACTGGACCTTTACTTATGGATGTTGTTGTTGTTAAGTGCCCTCGAGTTGGTTCTGACCCATAGC